CGATTCGTTGTACCGTTCTCGACTCTTAATCCTCGTCTGAATTCAGTTCCCTCCTTCCCTCCCACGCGAAGCGCGGAAGCTTTTACGTTTCATTAAATCATTAGGGAAAGAAGACGATTCGTTGTACCGTTCTCGACTTTTAATCCTCATCTGAATTCAGTTTTTCCCTTCCCCCCTCCTGCGCGAAGCGCGTAAGCTTTTACGTTTCATAAAATCATTGGAGAAAGAAGACGATTCGTTGTACCGTTCTCGACTTTTAATCCTCGTCTGAATTCCGTCCCCCCCCCCCTCCCGCGCGAAGCGCGGAAGCTTTTACGTTTCATTAAATCATTAGAGAAAGAAGACGATTCGTTGTTCCGTTCTCGACTCTTAATCCTCGTCTGAATTCAGTTCCCCCTCCCCTCCCGCGCGAAGCACCTAAGCTTTTACGTTTCATTAAATAATTAGAGAAAGAAGATGATTCGTTGTACCGTTCTCGACTTTTAATCCTCATCTGAATTCAGTTTTTCCCTTCCCCCCCCCCCCCCCTTTCCCTCCCGCGCGAAGCGCGGAAGCTTTTACGTTTCATTAAATAGTTAGAGAAAGAAGACGATTCGTTGTACCGTTCTTGACTTTTAATCCTCATCTGAATTCAGTTTTTCCCTTCCCCCTCCCCCCTCCCCCCCCCCCCCCCCCCCGCGCGTGGAAGTTTTTACGTTTCATTAAATCATTAGAGAAAGAAGACGATTCGTTGTAACATTATCGAATCTAAATTTCTTTAAAAAGGGGGTGGGTTTTTTTCTCTCTCTCTTTGGACTCCTGAGAAATGTAAAAAGGAGGTTATAAAATATCTTGAATATCATAGAAAAATTGATCAAATCCCGGGATCAAATTCCTGAAATTCCTGCTAGCTTTGAAAGCTCATTCAGGATTATTTCATTTTGAAAAGTAAAAGCATTGGCCCCCAGTCCCCCTCGATCGACTAGAGCTCAACTGAAATTGGGGGGGGGGGGGGGGTTGTACATTTAGCAGTGTTCCGGATTTGGGGGGGGGGGGTCTCCAAGGTAGGAAAAGCCAGCGAAAAGCCGGCAAAAGGGGGATTCAGAAATGTTGGCAGTCCTGAGATAGGGTGGGAGGGGGGTGCTTTCAAAGGTCGGGAACGAGCGTACCCGTACCCTAAATAATGCTAAGTGGGGGGAGCCGGGCATCTACTGTACATGATTGCACTTTTTAAGCGCTCGCGCGCTGGCGCACTTTACGTCTGGGCTATAATAATACCTTGCAAAATAACGAAAAATTATTCTAAAGTTTATGAAGTGCTTGTTCGCGCACGTCGCGTAACTACTCTTAATGATCGTGACATACTATATCCGTGTAGGCTATACAGTTATACTTACATTAAAAAAAAATAACTCATTTCTCATGTATTATGCTAAAATTGAAACAATCACATTTTCTTCTTCTTCTTCAACTTCTTCTTCCTTTTTTTCTCTCTTTTTTGTAATATCAGGGGGGATGATTGTACAGCCATCCCCCTACTTCAAGCCAGGGGGGATGCAGCCCCCACCCCCCCCGGGATTTACGCCCCTGCAGAGGGCTTCTTGGAAGAGCAATATTCGTTATAGCAAAGGGCTACACTGGTTTTAAAAGACTAAAATTAATAATAAATAAATAACTGTTCCCAAGACCCAATTTGCATTCTTATTTGCCTAAGTATAGAGATGCCTCTTACCCACAACCCCCTGGTATAGGTATAGTATTGAACGAAAAAGCCCAAACGCACCCTCCTTCCCCGTCCATACCCCCTCAACTTCGTATTCTCTTACGATAGACATCAGCTAGGGTCCGCCCTAAACTTTGCGTCCGTAGAACCCATTTTTCATTCTTTCTTACAAAATTTTAAATACAGTAACATGTCCCCGCCCTCCCGATGTCCCCCTTCTGTTTAAAAAAAAAAATCGAAACACATCCCGGCCTAGATAAACTAAGATCCATTAAAAGTGTAGCATAGACCTGTGATGCAGCATGACTGAATTACTTGATAGCCTTCGACACCCCCCCCCCTCCAAAAAAAAATATATATTTATATAATTATATAATAATAATTAATGTCATGAGTAAAGATACGACTTGCTCAAAGTTTAACCAACTTAACATACTCTGGAGAGGAAAGCGGATCGAAATAAAAAGAGGCTGCAGGTAGTTACATAATATTATGAGAGCATACATTTAACATTTGAGTTGTATAACCTTTCTTCTCCTTTCCTGGCTCCCCCTTCTCCTCCGGCCATGTTACTCCTCCTCCCCAGGCACGTAGCCAGAGTTTGATGTTTGGGGGGCACATTGTAATCGATCGAGGTCCAAAAAAAGGGGTCTAAAAAAGTTCAACCGATCTTGGAAATTTTTTGGGGGCACGTGCCCCCCCCCCCCCCCCCCCCCCGTGGCTACATGCCTGCTCCTCTCTTTCCTCCTCCTCCTCCTTTTTTCCAATTATTCTAGTTTCCTCCTTTTTTCTTCCTCTACTCCCCCCCCCCCCGTTTTAATTGAATCGACACGTTTACAAATTATCTACATATTTCCTGAAGCAATGCCCATACAAACGCTTGCCAGGGGCTTACTCTAGCCCCTAGGCACACTGCTAGGCCTAAAAATAAAACTTGTTGTATTGCCCTTTAGGTGCCAAAACATGGGTCGGTCGGTCGGATTTTTTTTTTAAAAACTTTTTTTGTTGCCCTCTTTGGGCCGATATTTTTCAGTTTTTAATGTTTGTTTGTTTGGTTTTGTTTTTGTTTTTTTCCTGCCCTCTTTTGGCTGATATTTCTCAGTTGTTATTGCTTTAATACATGTGTTTCAGCGTCATCATTCCATTCATATCTTTTTCACCTCATAGTAATTCATGGTTTGCAATGTTTTGTTGATCGAGATATTTACGCTAGTAGGATTTTGAAACTAGGGCCGAAAACGAGTGAGAATTTTGGAATGATTTTATTTTATGCATTTATATTCCATTTAAACAAACAAAATACATATTTTGTTATTCATTAATAAAACAATAAATCTAAAAAAAAACGGTTTAAAAAAAACCGACCGTAGATTTTCAGATTTTTGGGTCGGTCGCAAAGGGCAATACAACAAGTTTTTATTTTAGGCCCTATTTTCGTTTGAGAACAGTGTATTATCATATTATCATTTTCATTGTTATCAATATTATTATTATTATTATTATTATCATTAGAAGCAGTAGTAGTAGCAGTAGTGATATCCGAAATTTCAAGTTGCTGAGGTACTACTATACTAGTAAAGTAGCAGTAGAGTAGGAGCAGTAGTAGTAGTAGTAGTAGTATAGTAGTAGTAGTAGTAGTAGTAGTAGTAGTAGTAGTAGTAGTAGAAGTAGCAGTAGTGATAGCAGCTATTTAGTTGCTGAGGTACTACTATACTAGTAGAGTAGCAGGAGTAGGAGCAGCAGCAGCAGTAGTAGTAGTAGTAGTAGTAGTATAGTAGTAGTAGTAGTAGTAGTAGTAGTAGTATAGTAGTAGTAGTAGCAGTAGTAGTAGTAGTAGTAGTAGTAGTAGTAGTAGTAGTAGAAGTAGTAGAAGTAGTAGAAGTAGGAGTTATTTTGTTGTTGTTGCTGAACTTTGGAACAGACTACCTTTCAATGTAAAATACTGTCAAACTGTTAACCAATACATAATTTGTCTTGACACATTTATTCAAATTTGCTTTTGATGATTAACTAACTCTGCACATATGTGTATTCCATATGTATTGTAATTTGTAGGGTTATTTGCACTTTTTTGTTTTGTTTAATATTTAAATGTTTATCAGTCTATTTTGTTTGTTACAGCGCTTACCACCGAAGTCTCTATTTTTTATTACTATTACTATTATTATTATTGTCATAACATTTTAATTTAACTTTTATTAGATAGGACTATATAACTTACAAATCATAATTCTTATTTAGGCCAAACGGTTAATGATAAATGCCTGAATATCGTAAACAAAAATAAGTCATCGGTGAATACAAGCATCCATTTGTGGTTTGAAAGAGTTGAAAAGCCCTGGCGTGAATTACCACGTGCCGTTTTTACAAAAGCTTGAATGGAGTCAAAGGGTGCGTGGGCGTTGTTCCCATACCGCTTTCCAATGGAAGGAGACACTCAGACACATATTAGCATTCTGCCTTGTTTGCAGACTTGATTTGTCATAATTCTGAGAACCGCGGAAGTGTGACACCACTAGAGGACAAGAGGAACACTCCTTTCAAAAATTTCGTAGAAGGGACAAATTGGAAGAGATTGGAAGAAAGAGGATTTAGTTTTAACCGCATGACAATAAAAACAATTCTTTGGATGCTTCCGGGCGCTCGCGCGCCTGGGATCCGGAGAGGAAGAAAATTATAATGTAACGGTCCGATGAATATCGTATACCAAATGCTCCATGGCTTCTTGTATATTTTTCAATTGAAATGTGTCAGATTGTACACTTCTCCTCTTCAAAATTCTCTATATCTTGTAGTATATATCCTTAAAAGCTATTTATTGGAACGGAAGTACAAGTCGTAAATACTGTATCATAATCATAATCAATCATGACGTCACGTCAATCTGGTAATTTACATACAGCGAGCTGGCCTCACAAAGTGAACAGGCCAGCCGCATCACGCATATGGTGAATGTGATGTGAATGAAATATTGACAGATCATCACTTATAAAATATGAATATCAAGCCTCTATGAGAAAACATTTTAAGAGAGTATTCATATCACTAAAATGGTCTTTTACAGCTTATCATATGATTGTGCACATAATCCTACAGGAACTTATTTATTTACGTCACCGCGGATGGATAATGTATTTTACATGTCGAAAGGCCATTTGTTGCATAGTAATGAGATGAGAGCCATACACACGCACACACACTGGAAATAAATGGTACGTTCGATTTCCGTGCTCGGATGCATGTCGAAGTCTTTGAAAAGGTGTGGAATTTCACATAAAAGCATCGGTAAGCATTGTTGTAGCAGCTGCATGCATAGTGCATATGAATCTAAGAAATTTATGCTATTATTTCTGAGATTTTTGCAGGATGTCATTTATGTGTAGGTGCTAAAACAAGGAAGTGGTTGTTCTAGGGACTGCCAGTGTCGCACTCGGGCAGTTTTTCAAAATTTGGGCAAGCTAGTACGTTGAATGTGTGTGTGTACTGTGTGTGTGTTTTTGAATGTATTCGCCAGCATGTAATGAATCAATGGCAATGCTAGGCTAGGCTAGCTAGGCTAAGCCCGAGCAGCTGTGAATTGAACGCGCACGCGTGTGTATTAGTAGTCGAGCATGAGCGTGATACAGCCAGGGAGCTCTGTTCAGGGAGGAGGAGGGGCACTCTTGGCCAGCTCTGCTCGCAGAAGGAATCCCAAAACAAACCAGTGTTACAATGTTGTTGTGACACTGCCAGGTCAAACCAGAGACAAAGCCAACTATCATTAATTAGCTAACTGTTTGCTAGATCATATTCAAACTCATATTTAAGCAGTGGGTGTGGCACAATCAAATTGGCGGTCTGACTCTTGTGACCATGTTATGCCCATGGGTTCGAGTCCAGTGCAAAAAAATAGTTGTTGCCACCCTGGGGGTAAGCACACCCCTCCCCCTCCTTCTTGATCTCGATGCAGGCTCTGGTGCAGGAGAGAACACTCTGTTCCTCAGCCAGAACATTGAGTGGAGACCCGCATGTAGGAGAGTCACACCAGTAGTAGTACATGTATGCACGTTAACACGCTACACTTTTCGCAAAGAGCTGGTGTAAACCCGGTGTTTAGTGTGCCCGCATGTATATACTCTTCCTATACAGATCTCTGGATACGCTGTATAGCACTTTGAAGTTTCATAGAAGAAAAAAGGGAAACTTAATGTTTATTAGAATCGGGATCAACCGTTGAAGCACTACATGTATATTCATTGCAGTCTATTCATTGCAGTCCAACGTTATTTATTGACTAGACTACCTCTTAGTTTGATGGTGAAGAGGAAGGGGGGGTTATTATAAGCTACATGTTTGCAACAAGCTAACATACTTGTGCCTAACAACAAAATCAGATGTAATTAAGTACTTTGGGTGAACTTAATGTACTACTACTACTAAGATCTATGTTTAAACTTCTCAATTGTTACAACTAATAATGGTCTATGAGTATGAGTATGATTGAAGAGAAAGTCACTGATGCAATCATCTAGTCAGTATTTAGTTTGATACTCTAACATGAATGCACACTTTGATTTTGTCTCTGATTGCTTACATGTAGGTTATGAAAATGTACAGTTTTCAACCATTTAAAATATAAAAATATCTATTATCGTGATTTGAATTGGATGGTTTATTGAGAAAAGAGAATACTGAAAATGGCAACCTGAGGGCTGCAATTACACTCAGATTACAATAAAACTAAAAGCAAATGAAATAAATTGCAATCTTAAAACAGTTATTAAGATTGCAAAAATAAATTCAAAGATAAAATTAATGAGATATACACTGTAATATTATAATACAATTGTAGAAAGTATGACCGACACTATTCTTAAAGGGATCCGATAACTTTGTCTTAGATCCTTTAAAAAAATCCTTGATTTAGCTCATGCTGCAATGATAATTATAAACCTTTAGGTCAGTCAGGAACCCCATGACTTTTATAAGCTGATCTCCTGTCTGATTATCAAGATATTTATGATTGAAAATCGAAATCAAATTTTGCGTTTGCCAAACGGTTTTCATAACACTACAGTCTATTGGGGAAAACGAGTATGGTAAAACCGGTCACTCAAAGGTTTTTACTTTTTTGAGGCACTTCTTGATCATTTTGGAGCGCAATTGTTTTAGGGCTTCAAAATAACACAATATCACAGACACTGATAACACGTTGGGCCGTGCATCTCGGGTTTAACATTGTTATTAAAACGATTAGGCTTGAGTCGGTACGGTCGATCACACCGGGACCCGACCGTTGCCGTCGGGTCCCGGTTTCGTTTTTTGAGAACCGGCGCTCCGAAAAAAATAATGAAATATGTAAGAAATTGCAGTTTTGCACACCACTAAAATCAATCCACCCTAAAACTTAAGTATTTAATTGTTACCAATCGTATTCTAGCTCATCCAGAATCAATCCGAACCGCTGATATAAATATGGGTTGCAAAGCAGTTCGCCCCATGGGGTTGTTGTTGCCAGCTGCTAGCTAGCTTCTGTACTGGCCGGATCTCTCGGCAGAATTAATAAATCAGGTTGAAAGAAACAATAATGTTTGAATAATAAAACGACTTTCTAAAAAGTACTTCTTTACAACATACCGATCGAATAATTTTTAAAAGACAAAATATATATTTTTTCTTTGATTTTGAACACCGCATGCTTCTTTTAAAAGCTGAAAATGACTTGGTAATCACAAGAAGTTTCGATACGGATAGCTGTTGCAATGCAAGTTCAGACTAGTCTCGGAAAAATGCGCAGTGCTCCTTGTTAGCTATAATGCGTGCCAGAACGAACCCAAACAAAGACGTGATCGTAACGAGAAAAAAAATCATTAAAAACTACGAGAGCACAATTGGAAAGACAACTACTCAAAATTATCGTAAGCAGATACATAACTTGGAGGAAGAATACAATAGTTGTCCAAGAAAAGCCACATAAATAGTGATATTTAATGAGTTACTATAGGTACAATCATTATCGGAAGGGCCTGCTGCAATATATCTAAACGTGTTTAAATTGAACACGAGGCAAATACCGCCCTCTACGGTAAAAAGCAGTATAACAAAGGATTCGAGTATTTGCAGCAGGCCCCTTGCGATAAAAATGTACCCAGTTACTCCTCGATTATCACAATTTCTGTGGCATTTCTTGGGCGATTATTGAATTCTTTGTCCAAGTTATGTATCTGATTATGGTAATTTTGAGCAGTATATCTTTCCAATTGTGCTCTCGTAGTTTTTAATGATTTTTTTCTCGTTACGATCACGTCTTTGTTTGGGTTCGTTCTGGCACGCATTACAGATAACGAGGAGCACTGCGCATTTTTCCGAGACTAGTCTGAACTTGCCTTGCAACAGCTATTCGTATCGAAACTTCTTGTGATTACCAAGTAATTTTCAGCTTTTAAAAAAAAGCATGCGATGTTTAAAATAAGAGATAAATATTTATTTTTGTCTTTAAAATATTATATGATCGGTATATTGTACAGAAGAATTTTTTAGAAAGCTGTTTTATTATTCTAACATTCATATTTTTTGACCAGATTTATTCAACCTGCATAAATCAAAATGGCGGCTCGATTGTAGTCTTTATATTTTTGCTCGAGTTTTTTTTACTTTTAGAGGCACGATAATGGCACTAAACATCGCCAATCATGGATGAATATAATGTCAAATGGAAGAATATACCAATCTGTGCCGAGGTATGCATGTGTTGATTTATTTGACTGATAAAAATGTCACTTTTAAGGGACATACTGATGATATGCGCTTTTTATAGAGGCAAGTGACAAATCCTGCGAGCTGATTTCGGGACACCGGGTCCCGACCGGTGCAAGGCCGTCGGGACCCGGTTTATGAAAATCCCGACATGACTCAGGCCTAAAAACGATCCCTTTAAAGTTAACACATACAGCTGTGATATTGTATCTTTCTTTTGAAATACTGAAACCTAATAATGAGAGAAATCTTGAGGAAAAAATCAAGCCAGTATAATCTTTTGAAAGGTTTGAGGGTAGATATGAGGAAGAAGCATAACTTATAGTTTATATATGTAGCCATGGGAACAAAGCTACAATTAAATATCTTTATTTTGAGACAGGAATTCACTATTCTTTTGGCACAGTGGCGCTTGTGCACATACTGTAACAGAATACAGAATGCAGCTACTGAATATTTATACAAGTGCCTTTGAGTTCTTATGCTTTGATGAGTTTGATCACATTCTAAGATTTAGCCAATGCAAATAGATAGATGTTTGTGTACCTGATTATTCAGAATTGTTTAATATGGGAATGTACTATTGTAGGCCATTGATATGTACATGTAGGCCTAAAATGTACATATTGTTTGCTACATATATAGGCTACCTGCTCAACACTGGAATGACCAGGAAGAGTTAGAATTAGAACAACAAAGCAAGGAAGTAGGGATCATAAATCATATTACAGTCCTGAATTTATAGCTTAATGTTCTACTGAAGTACATCTGGTGATTGTTTAAATGCCTACTACGTATCATGCTTATCATGTATTGATGTTTCGTTTTGAATCACTATGATAGACATTAGACAATCAGACATCTTTTGCAATAATGGCTTGGACACTAAAAAAACATTTTATTTGATCAAGGATGTAGATTTATGGTCTGGTTTACAGTTCTGTCTTAGGTTGGAGTTAAGTCACATAAGGAATGATCGTTATGCCATTGTCGGGCCGAGTATTGATACAGACAAACCCCCTCGGTTGGAAAGATTTAGAAATGAAGTCAGAATATTAAGACCTTATGTTTTGAAAGGCCGGAAAACACAATAATAAAGACTTACGATTGTTGATTTGCATGGGGAATGTTGGACTATTTATGTATCTAACCGATAAGGGATGCTATCAATCACCAAAAGTGATCTTCACTTGAAAGTACTTTATGACTATCAGTATCAAGTATTATGTAATGCTCTCATCCTCTTCCAACCTCAGAAGAACTGTCCCATAATAAGGAACAATTATCATCATAAAGTCCTCACCTGAACTATGACTGCAACCAACTCCAAAAGAACTGCCCCATAAGGAAAGTCCTCACCTGATCCATGACTTATTGCTCTTCACCTCTCATAGGTTAGGCAAGTCCCAAACTACATGCATATCCAGATTGGCCATACATGTAAGCTTTGCTGTGTCTACATACATGTACATGACATGTTTTGACTGAGATATCCGATGTAAGCAAACTTATGTGAAGCATGCTGCACGGAAACTGCTTAATACTGGTGTATCATACTCCAACATGGTTTCGTTGATCAGATATCTCTCATGTTGCATTTTAAAAACTTTTGAGTTTCTGTTTTTACCATTCCCTCTGGATAGCTGTCGAGAACACAAGCTGCATTTAGACTGCAAGCAAAAATGGTAGATTTTTCTCACATTCCGGTGTTTCGTTAGAAGTTGCT